GTAGGGGTTCTAGATTCTCCTGTTATCCCCCACTCAGCTTTTAGCAATTTGTTAGAGTTTTTCACTGGATTATTCTTACCTGTCTGTAGGGAGCTTAACATCTCTTCTGTGTTTTGCCAAAGGTATGCTTGCATCCTGTGTCTCCTTGGAGAGGTCTGTCTTTTCATATATCTCATACTACTTGGTTGCACTGTAACTTAGGATCTCTAGTGGGTTTAAGAAAAGTTATGATTTTGTATATTATACAGTTTTTTCTTGTTCTAAGTCAGATATGGTGCTTTTCCCAGTCTTCTCCATCCTAAGCAAAACTGAAACTCTCCAATTTTTTGTTGCTGTGAACTTTACACACTGGTCCTAAAATTTATATGAAAATGAAAAAAAAATCAAGATTTGCCAAAATATTTTTTTTTTAATTTTTTTCAACGTTTATTTATTTTTGGGACAGAGAGAGACAGAGCATGAACGGGCGAGGGGCAGAGAGAGAGGGAGACACAGAATCGGAAACAGGCTCCAGGCTCTGAGCCATCAGCCCAGAGCCCGACGCGGGGCTCGAACTCACGGACGGTGAGATCGTGACCTGGTTGAAGTCAGACGCTTAACCGACTGCGCCACCCAGGTGCCCCAAGATTTGCCAAAATATTCTTGAAGAACAAGGTGATAAGAAACAAAACAGTGAGTTATTGGTGTAAAGGCAGACAAACAAACCAATGGGACAGAACAGAAAGCCCGGAAACAGATCCATAGAAACATAGACATTAATTCACAACAAAGGTGGTACTGCAGAAAAGCAAAGGAAAAAGACAGTCCCAGTGGACAATTAGATAACTACAAGGAAAAAAATGAAACCTAATGCCTACCTCACCTAATAACAAAAAAACAATTCCAAATGAATTATAGAATGTAAGAGCAAGACAATGCTAGAACGTCTAGAAATTAATACCGGATATCTTCATGACCTTGAGACATTGCACAAAAATCAATAATCATACAGGAAAATAATGAATTTGAATATGCTAAAATTAAGATCATTTGGTTAATCAAAACACACCATTAAAAGACTGAAAGACCAATCAGAGTGGGAAAGCTATCTGCAACACAGAACTGACAGAAATTCATAAAACACTCTAATACAATAGAAAAATAGGCAAGAGATTTGACTGGGCAGTATACAAAACAGGAAATCTAATCAGCCAATGGGTAAAGGTGCTCAATTTCATTTGTAATCAAGGAAATTCAAGTTAAAACCATAATGAGATACCACTAAACAACTACAATCCCATTTCCAGAAATAATACAACAGAAATTTAAGTACAGAACACCAAGAAAATATGTACATGAATGCTCATAACAGTACAATCTGTCAAAAGTGGAATCAACCCAAATATCCATCTACAGTGGAATGGGAGAGTTGTGTATATTCAATGTAATATTCTACAGCAAATAATATGAATAGCAGCTATATGCAATAGCAGATATGGAACTCAGAAACAATACACAGCAAAAGCATTTAATATAGAGCAAAAAACTGTATAATCCCATTTAATATACATTTCAAAAACAGGTAAAACTATAATATTTAAGGGTATAAGCTTAGGTATATCAGTAGATGGTTAACTTTGTAAGGGACAGAGAGGGTAGTAATTGTGAGAGAAAATACTGAGGTTTCTGTGATGCTAGTGGTGATTTACCTCTTCATTTGGTTGGTAGTCACATAGGTGTCCATTTTGTAGACAATTAGCCTATATACTTTGTCTTCCATGCTTTACTATATATTTAGTATACTTCATTATAACCTCCCCATATATCTTTCAGAAAGTTTTTGGCCATTAGTGAACTTGTTGGTTTTTTGTTTTTTTTTTTAATTAGAGGTGTTTCATTTTTTTTTAAATCAGATTACTATTTTTTAAATTATTTTATTACTTTTTAAATTTTTTAAATGTTTATATATTTTTGAGAGACAGAGAGACAAAGCATGAGTGGGGAAGGGGCAGAGAGAGGGAGACATAGAATCCAAAGCAGGCTCCAGGCTCTGAGCTGTCAGCACAGAGCCTGACGTGGGGCTCGAACTCACGAGCCGTGAGATCATGACCTGAGCCAATGTTAGACGCTTAAATGACTGAGCCATGTAGGCGCCCCGTTTACTAGAGGTGTTTCAAATGCAGTGATGCAACTTTCTGATCCCTAGTATTCTCTTTGGTTCTAATTTTCTAGGATTCAAGAAAATTTGTATGTTTTTGGAGCATGGTGGGGGGGGGATTCTTCCCCTGTTTGGAACTGAGAGACACAAAATGCAGGTAAAAATAAAAAAATATATATATATATATTAGCTATACTAATGACAAAAAGCTGGACTAGTGGATATGTGACCATAGTGGGCTACCAAATACCCAACACCTAAATTAAATGGATCCAAGTCCAAGGCAGAGATGGACAGGTTTCCCTGCAGCCTGCCTCACAAAGCTCAGGATTTTATTGAAATCAAAGAAATGCAGACAGGAAGAAATTTACCCGTAAGATGTGTCACTCCTCCTTCCCTGGCATGGACTGAGTGGGGCAGCCTGCCTTCACCTCCTGGAAAGTGGAATGGAAATTCTCTCCGCTCTATGGAAATGTGAAGAACAGGAATAAATATCACCCCTAACAACAGGCAGACTAGCTTTGCTTGACAGTCTATCTTTAAAGTCAGCTCTGAAGCTTAGCAGAGGCTGCCATAGGCTAAATTTTAGAACAAGCTTCATTCTTGCTCTTACAGCTCCTTTCTCTTCTTCCACTGATGAACCTGCATATATACTCCAACCACCATCTTTTTAGTGGCTTGCCTGGAAATATCTGCAGAGACTTGTAAGCAAGGGTAAAGGAGAAGAGAGCAGGTGATTATATGTGTAGCTCTTTTCTAAGTAATGTATTTATGAATAAAATGATCTTTCCCATTTCTCTATGAGATGTATTAAATTGGCATACAACTTTAAGTGCCTCTGGAGATTATTTAGATCATTCTTTCTCTAGGTAAAGTTAAGCCTGGTTCAGGTCTGCTTTTTGGTATTTAGAAGTATTCAATGATTATTTGTATCAGTCTTCTCTTAAAAGTCAATAAAAACACAAATATATATCTACAGCTTAAAGTCATTACCTCCTTTTCACAGTGATGAAGAATGATTACTGTGTGTTCATAAATACTTTTATTCATGATTTTAATTAGCATGGATAATTTGGCCCAAGATATTTCAGTTCAGACACAGCAACACATGTTTATTTAATTAAAATTTTATTTTTACCTTGAGGTAATTGTAGATTCACGTGCAGAGATTCCATTGTGTCCTGTTACCCAATTTCCTCTAACAGTAACATCTTGCAAAACTATAGTACAATATCCCCCAAGATATTGGTATTGACACAGTCATAACAAAGAACATTTCCATCCTCATGATGATTCCTTATGTTGCCCATTTAGAGGCACACATAATTCTCTCCCTTGCAACCCTCTCCCCTTAAATTCCAGAAACCACTAATTTGTTCTCCATTTCTATAATTTTGTCATTTCAAGAATGCTCCATAAATGGAACCATATGGTTTATAAACTTTTGGGATTGGCTCTCTCATTCAGCATAATGGTCTAGAATTCATCCAGGTTGTTGCAGGTATCCATAGTTTGTTCTTTTTCATTGGCGAGTAGTATTCCATGGTTGGATAGATCACATTTTGTTTAACCATCTGCCCACTGAAAAGCTCTGTGTTGTTTTTGGCGACTACAAATAAAATTGCCATGAACAGTTTTTTATGTGAATACAAGTGTGTGAAAACATGTTTATAACAACATGTGACTCTCTAATTTTCTACCTGTTTAACTACAAAGCAGAAGATGTCAAGGTATTTGCCAAAAGTCATAGACCACTTCTTTGTAACTGAGGGTCAACTAATGATTCTTATCAGTACTTGCAGCTTTATAACTATTTTACTTCCTGACCTTGGAAAGCTCCCCCAAATATCTTTGAGCCTCAACTAGATAACATACATGCTTTTCAAAGTGTATCATTTGAAACACAAACTCCATGAAATGCTCCTAAAAGGGATAGGATAAGGCCTTCATGGTCAAGTAAGTTGGAGGAAATGCTGAATACCGTATTTCTCTTTTGAAATAAACAAATGTTCTTTGGTATAAAAAAGGGAGGATCCAGTATCCCACTGTCCAAGTTCAAATTCCAGCTCTATCACTTGCTAGAACAGAAACCTTCGGCAAAACACTTAACACTCCCATATCTCAGTTTTCTCATCTATAGAATGAAGGTAACAACAATACCCCACTCATACGAATGCAAGATTAACTATATGGACACAAGGAAACACCTGATAGATGTTACCTATTATTATAACTATTGCCATCATAACCAGAATCATCAAAATCATTGTGATCTTGTTAAAAATATACATGTCCAGGCCCCACCCCTGCAGATTATATTCAGTTTAGGGTAGAGTAAGTTTAGGGTAGAGCCTGGTCCAGATGAAGCAGAAGTTATTTTACATTAAGAACGTGTCCAAGACTGTCTAAGACAAGATTGAAACTCAGACCAAACTGACTGATGGAGTTATCACACTTATATCAGTACGCAGTTAATAAATCCTTTAAATGACTAACTCCATAGTCCCACAAAAAGAATACAGTTTTAACTCTCCTGAATTGAAGGTTGAGCTTATAATATAAACTCATGATTCCCCAAGGGGTAGTTCATTAAAAAAAAATGCAGTTCTGTGCAGTTGGTACACACCAGCACTCAAAAAAAAAAAAAAATTCCTAAATGTAGCAGTTAACATTGATATATAAAAATTTTACTTGTGAGTCATTGCTTAGCAAATCAAATCTGAAAATAAGACATTATTTCCTTAGAAATAAAAGAAAATAACCATGATTCTATTATTCCTGTAGGTTGCATCACCACACTGCTGATTTCCAAAGGTCTTCTTATTGTTAAGCACCAGGCAAATTTCCAGAACACTTGGGGAATTCACTTTAGAGGTGGTGGCAATCTTTTTACCACTTCTGCGGCAATCCTCAGGTAAGCTTTGGCCTGGAAAAGAAAAAACTCATTTGTTCTACATTTCTCCCCAGCAGACATCAAATGACTCATGAACTGTTGGCCATAGCTGCCTGCTGAATTTAATAGTCAAAAGGCTGAGTGAGCTGAGGAAGTTCAGCAGTGAGAAGATGGTGTCATGTACACTGCAGGTGGGGCAGGGAAGAGAGGGTTTTAGCATTTTTAGGGGGCAGCTACTTAGAAGGTGACTTTCTGAAAACAATATTTAATACCAGCAGTTACTGTTTTCAAACTCTAATTCCCATGTCATCAAACTAGCAACCCAGTCCAGTTGTAGAAAAATTGTATCTTCTTCTTGTGACAAATTGATATCGTGAGATAGATGCTGCCCAAACTTCTTTGGCATAAGACCTGGTAGTCATTTCAAATAGGACTGTTTATTACCACCCTATGGAGCATTTTCTGTTCTCTTTGAGAATGGCATCCAATACCAGCAATGAGCACCTTAGGCTCCTTCACCTGGTGAAATTTGGGTACCAGGGAAGAATTCCTGGGTTAGGTTGTTACACTCTTCATCTTTGGGATCCCCAGAGCAGCCAAATACTAAGAGCAACTCCTAAGCCACTGTGGGTCACTGTGTTAGTCACAAACTATCCCAATGCCTACATGGTCCTGTCAGAACAATGGTCATGACATCTGCATTTTAAAAGTTTTGAATAATTAGGGGTGCCTGGGTAGATCAGGTCATGATCTCGCCTAGAGTTTGAGCCCCACATCCAGCTCTGTGCTGACAGTTCAGAGCCTGGAGCCTGTTTCAGATTCTGTGTGTGTGTGTGTCTCTCTCTGCCCCTCCCCAGCTCGTGCTCTGTCTCTCTCAAAAATAAACCTTACAAAAATGTTTTTAAGTTTTGAATAATTGCAATGCAAATGTTATTTATTTCTCCTATCTTATGTGTAAAAAGTAACTGTAAGACACAATAGTAAGGCCTTCTAAAACCATTAATTTATATGTTTATATACTTAGATTTATGAATATACCACCACTACTACAATACTATGGTTGATAATAGCTAAAATTTACTTGAGTACTTAATATTTACCAAGTAATGTTTCATTTAAACTGGCAGCTACTTTAAGGGATAAATTCTGTCACTAACCCCACTTTATAGATAAGGAAACCTAGACCCAGAAAGGTGAGCAGTCTTTCTCGCCTGAAGCATTATAGCTAATACCAGATGAGCTGGTCTTTGAACCTAACCTGACCACTCTCTGACTCTGCATGGTAAAAGAACTGTTTGAGGTCTGTTTACCCTGACTTACAGAAGTGTTTTAAGTGTGACACATTTCCATTTTTGAAAACTATGCTTGAGCCCTAACAGCTGACTTATGCTTTATTTTATCAGAAAAGTATTAAAATCTCACTTAAGAGTCCATTTTTTTAAAAAGAAAAGTTCTTGGGGCGCCTGAGTGGCTGAGTCAGTTAAGCATGCAACTTCAAATAAGGTCATGGTCTTATAGTTCATGAGTTCAAGACTTGCATTGGGCTGTGCTGTCAGCCCAGGGCCTGCTTTGGATTCTTTGTCTCCATCTCTCTCTGCCCCTTCCCTGCTCGCTCTTTCTCTCTCTCTCAAAAATAATATACATTAAATTAAAAAAAAAAAAAAGGGAGACACCTGGGTGGCTCAGTCACTTAGGCGTCTGACTTCAGCTCAGGTTATGATCTCACAGTTCCTGAGTTTGAGCCCCGCGTCAGGCTCTCTGCTATCAGCATGGACCATGTTTTGGATCCTCTGTCCCCCTCTCTCTCAGCCCCACCTCTCTCTCTATCAAAAATAAATGTTAAAAAAAAATAGTTCTCAAAATATGAATAAAGCCTTAAATTTTTTTATCGAGTACCTACTATACCAAGTACTGTGCATAAGTAATCACACTTATGTAAAATAAGCATCATCAACTCAACTTGGATAAAGAAACAGTCACAAAGTCACTAAGCTGGAAAGTGTCAAACCTGGGTCCACCTAACTCCAAAGCCTAGATCCTTCTACTACATTACAAATTAAATATTTCTTTTTTTTAACGTTTATTCACTTTTTGAGAGACAGAGACAGAGTGTGAACAGGGCAGGGGCAGAGAGAGAGGGAGACACAGAATCAGAAGCAGGCTGTCAGCACAGAGCCCAACGCGGGGCTCGAACCCAAGAACTGTGAGATCATGACCTGAGCTGAAGTCGGATGCTCAACTGACTGAGCCACCCAGGCTCCCCTACTACATTACATATTAAACAGTAAATCCAAAGTACAAGTAATTTTAGTCATAATGCTTTATCTAAAAATGGTTTCACTCTCTGCTATAGTTAACAGAAACAAAAGTTTTGTTTAAAAATGGAAATGCCAGGGGGGCTCCTTGGTGGCTCAGTTGGTTAAGCGGCCGACTTCAGCTCAGGTCATGATCTCAGTCTGTGAGTTTAAGCCCCACATCGGGATCTGTGCTGACAGCTCAGAGCCTGGAGCTGCTTCCAATTCTGTGTCTCCCTCTCTCTCTGCCCCTCCCCTGCTTGCTCTCTCTCTCTCTCTCTCAAAACTAATAAACATTAAAAAAAAAAAAAAGTTAAAAAAATAAAAATGGAAATGCCATGTACTTTGTAAAGAAATATTTTTCTTAAATCTAGTATGCTGATTTTCACCCATGCATCTCTGTAAATACCTTTTATCTCCTAGTAGCTTTTCCGAATATTTAGGCCTAATATTTCTGTGACGACAATTTAGAGTTCACTAAGGCAAGCTGAGAGAAAGCCATCATTCTATCATCTTTAAACTCTTACTTATGTTAAATTAGAGACATAAACCTATCAGACTACACAAAACACTGAACGATTCCAGAATAATCAAATTTGCCACATTTAACCTTTGCTTTTTAATGGACTATCTCCAAGCTTAAACTTTCAATATATCACACTCAAAGTAATGGTTAGGTTGTCATTTGCTGAGAAATCTCTAAAAGTGCTTAGTTTAACAGTTTCAATTTCTACAAAACTGTTGAATTTGAATTTTTTCAGCCAGTGCAGTATCATTTCAACAAATAATTTCTGGTTCTTATCATGTGCGAGTCACTGTTTTGGGAAATCTGTGGGACGTAATGATACAAAAGGAAGGCAGAATAGCTCACTTGTGAAGACCTGGAGCCTCTGCAGTTAGACAGGCCTGAGTTAAAATCTTAGCTCCATCACTTATTAGCTATGAGGCCTTGGGCAAGTTACTTAACCCTTCTAAGGCTCAGTTTCCACATCTCCAAAATATCTAAAACAACAGCAACTAGGGCGCCTGGGTGGCTCAGTGAGTTAAGCATCCGATTTCGGCTCAGGTCATGATCTCACCATTTGTGGGTCTGAGCCCTGCATCGGGCTCTGTACTGTCAGCTCAGAGCCCACTTTGGATCCTCGGTCCCCCTCTCTCTGTGCCCCTCCCCCACTTGTACTCAGCTCTCTTTCTCTCTCTCTCAAAAATAAATAAACATTTAAAAAAATTAAAAAAAAAATAACAACAGCAGCTATCTCAAAGGGTTTGGGGAATATTAAGTAAGAATAAGGTATGTGAAGGGGCGCCTGGGTGGCGCAGTCGGTTAAGCGTCCGACTTCAGCCAGGTCACGATCTCGCGGTCCGTGAGTTCGAGCCCCGCGTCAGGCTCTGGGCTGATGGCTCGGAGCCTGGAGCCTGTTTCCGATTCTGTGTCTCCCTCTCTCTCTGCCCCTCCCCCGTTCATGCTCTGTCTCTCTCTGTCCCAAAAATAAATAAAAAAAATGTTGAAAAAAAATTTTAAAAAAAAGAATAAGGTATGTGAAGTGCTGGCACAAAAGAATGAAATAAATATTAGTGGCTGCAATTATTACTATTATGTCCTCAAGTAATTTACAATCTCATTGAAGAGCTCATATGAACATGTACTTGTGGGTACTTTTCCTGACTGAGGAACAAGCAAACTAAATCCCTGCCTTTTGTTTAATCCATAACTAGCAAAAAGGCAATATACACATATCATATATTAAAAAATATGATTCTGATTTCTCAAACTATTAATATTCTCTTTTTTTATCACCTCAGTTATACATAAAATACCACTTCTATTCGAGATCTTTTATTGAGGCATCTATAAACACAGATAATATAGCTGGATGCTGTTTGCTCTATCATTAACAAGTTAAAGGAAATGGATGGCAAACAAAGTGCAAGAAGTTTTACAGGGAACTTTTTTCCTTTGTTTTTGTTTTTAAGGATTTGAAGTCCTAATTCATCATACATAATCCTATTAAAATTATAAGGTTATAGTAAATTAGAAATTATAAGATAATAGTTTCCACTTTGAAAGTCTTTATCAGGAATACCTTACAGCACACCTTTCTGTATGTCAATATTAAGATTTTTACTTGACAAAAAGGATGAAAGCACAAAATATCAGTCCTTTATGCGTCCATTACTTGTTTCCTGGATGCAAGGAAAGGCAAAAAGTAGATAGAGTTGAATTAATCATTATAATCACACAAACAAGAGGCAATGCTATTGAACTTAAGAGTTCTGAATCCTAAGTGTCCACTTCCTCTCCCATCCTCTATGGCTTTCTCTGGCTATTTCATGCTACTTATATTTGGAGAGTCAACTATTCTCCTTTCCTCAGTAGTGCTCATTTCAGAAGGTTTTGCCTAATGACTGAGGAGGTAGCAGCTTGTTGGTACTTTTTAGTTGGTACTCTAACTCCTGCCAGCTGTCTGACAGTGCCTTAAATTCAGTGCAAATCATATTTTAAGTTGATCAGTATCACTTAGGTATTCACTTCCTGTGAAAGTTAGATGTTACTGGGAGAGTGAAGTAGCAAATAAGATAATGTATTTAATGCACATAAGTACTGTACTCTCTTAAAACAAATTAAAGAAATCATAGCTATTAGTATAGGACCCGAAAGGTATATGATAAAATGGAACTATTGAGTTGCAGGGAAAAGACTTGTCTGTTAATCATGTTTTATCACTTATTAGTTCTGAAACCTTGGGAAAACTATTTAAATTCCTTAAATCTCAGTTTCCTTATCTGCAAAGTGGGGACTATTTATATACTGTATTAAGTTGTAAGCATATAAATTATGTAACCAAAATGTCTGACAATGTTTGGTACACTGTAAGGCTACTATTAGGAGGATGATTCATAATAATGAATGTAATAATTTCCATGGAAACAGAATAAATACAAGGCACTAATTTCTTTTTTTCCTTTTCATGGCCATGTCTAAATCCTAAAATTGCTCAGAAATCTTCAATATTTAAGGTTGACAACCTGGTACGTGAAATTCTCACTGCTTTTGCCAAGACCTCACCAAATCAAATCTAGCACAAACCACAAAGGCTTAGGCTGTTCTCATTCTCATAAATGTCAGGCAGTAACAGTAAAACAATAGGTCTAACGTTTATGACAATGTAAATGAGATTTCAAAAAAAAACAACTCCAGAAAACTACATAAACACTGCTGTTTAGAGTTTTAAATCATATTATCTTTTGATGGCTGCTATATGTTTTCTTTTGCATTACATTCCTTTAACTTGCTTGAAAGGTTCCTCGCTTTTGAGAAATCTCATAGAAAACAGCAATAATGGATAGGTGGAGAAAATATTAAAAAGTTTAAACTTGTGGGGTGCCTGGGTGGCTCAGTCAGTCATGATCTGACTTCGGCTCAGGCCATGATCTCACAGTTCATGAGTTTGAGCCCCGTGTTGGGCTCTGTGCTGACAGCTTGGAGCCTGTAGCCTGCTTCAGATTCTGTGTCTCTGTCTCTCTCTGCTCCCCCTCCCACCCCCCCACCCCCCACTGCTTGTGCTCTCTCTCGCTCTCTCTGTCTCTCTGTCTCAAAAATAAACATTAAGAAAAATTTTTTTAAATCTAAATTTGTAACTGATATAATGTAGTAAGTAATTATTCTTAGTCATAAGAAATCACCTTAGAATGTCTTTAGTCTGTTCTTGGGAGTCATTTAAAAGTGTATAATTAAACTCAATTTTCATACAACTTTCATTCTGCATAAAGTACACCTATGATAGTTGGGTTGGCAGACTTTAATTATGAGAGTAATAAAAGGTTATGGTTTTTGCTTATCTGAAAGATTTCTAAGAAAAGACTGAAAAAGAAATTTTACATTTACCACCTAAAAGGCAGGAAAAGAGAAAAACAATGATAAGTGCAATACATTACACTCTATTTCCTCAGAGATCTTATCCCCAGCAACTCAATCACCTATACCATAGATACTGACTCTTAAGAAATGGAAAGGACCTTGGGCCGCTGAGAGAAAGAACTCAAAATCAGTGTACTTTACATATCCAACATTCCTGACTGTCGAATTATTTACAGTTCTTACTTCATTCACGGTTCTAACCAAGCTCAGCTCTTTTATTTTCTAGTTCACATAAGACTGGAGAGAGGTTGGCGGGAAGATGGCGGCATAGGAGGACGCTGGGCTCACCGCGCGTCCTGCTGATCACTTAGATTCCACCTACACCTGCCTAAATAACCCAGAAAACCACCAGAGGATTAGCAGAACGGAGTCGCCGGAGCCAAGCGCAGACGAGAGGCCCACGGAAGAGGGTAGGAAGGGCGGCGA